ACCAACTTTTCTAAGCCTGGCTAGTTACACGGACTTTACCCCCGACCGCCCTTGCAGCCCCAAGCCATGAAGAGACAAGCCCTGTTGAATCTCTGGTCGGTGTTTCTAGATTTTAAAGTAAATATTTTCCACATACCAGTTGCAAAAGCAGGAAAGATACGTGTTTTAAGCTAATTGATACCCTGCATTTGTTACATACCGACCAAAGGTTTAATATGAGACAACACAGCAATTCACACAATACAAAATAGCGTCATATGGAAAAATGTGTCAAAATGGCGTTCTCATGCATGTCGTCACGTCATGAAAGGTATACAAACTGATAGCAAGCCGGAGGAAATAATATAGATGTAAAAACTCGAGCAAGAGCTCTTTTCATAACCCTATTATTGGACCAGTAGATGAGCTATTGGGTTTGCTAGGAGTCAGTTACAGTCGTGCCGCGGCGCAGCCGCCCACGAGAATGCTCTTCTCGCCTTTTTCCGTAACAGGACATCTTTGGATTGAGCGCTACCGACGTGCCCAGTGGCCTGGAACCCGATGCGCCAGCCACTCGCGCGCTGAGACCCACGTCCCAGCCGCCAGGACTTTTGACATGACCAACAAATGTGACTCCGGTGCAGATGAACCTTTCGACAAGAGCACAGACACAGTTTCGATTGTTGTAATTGCTTGACGCATTGCTTCTCACCTAGCTTTGTTTCATGTTTCCTACATGTAAAGTTAGATTGCAGCCCAGTCGTATAAGTTCAACTCCAGGTAGACCGCTGAAGGCGTCGCGGATGACCAAAAAGGCATCATTTCACGCCCGATTACATTCTTTACCCACAAAGGCCAGTCGGTTGCCCTTCAATACTTACCGATAGGCCTACAGCGTATAGCCTGTCTCTGAAATGCTCCCAACCCACTACAGCTCCTGCAACTGAAGCGTCCAAAGGCTGAGAACCAAGTCAGCCTGGTGCAGAGGTGTATTTTCGCGCGGTTCGGTCCTCCTGAGCGTGAGGAGGAGGAGGGCCGTCTTCTCGGCGGTGCTTCGGGTGCGTAAGGCACCCAGCCGACAACGCGTGCGGTCCCAGCTGCGCTGTGCTCTCCTGACGTGTCTGTCCAATCGTCGCTTCTGGCTTGTTATGGGGAAAGTGTCAGTGTGACACCTGGACAGGCGACGGGGTCGCTTGGTGAGCCGCAAATGAGTCGCGTCGAACAGGATCGACCGACATTGGAAGCAAGTAGAAACCGGCACGGGGCGCCCGCCGACACATGGGAGCGGAGAGGATGATGGAGGATGCGGCAAAAAACGCTCTTCCCACGTTGGCCAAGACCATGTCGAAGCGCGAAGAGAACCAGGTGCCTTGTCTCAGGCGTGCTACAAAAGCTGAGGACGACACTCTTTGCCGCAGAAACCGTCGGAACGCCAGGAAGACAACAGCATCACAAGATCTGCGTTAGACGTTCAGAGTCCTGTGGAAACAGTGCGTATTGTGGGGACAATCGAAAATCCTGTTCGCTGAAAGGTATGACCTGCGCTGGCGAAGTATGTGTGCCACTCAGTGTAAGCAGGGCAGGGATCTGAGCTAATGGTGCTAATGGGAACATTGGTGCTTTGTTTCATGAAAGCAACTCAACCAGAAGATAATGAAAAGCATGGCACTGCATCCAAAGCAGAACTCCGGTCACCTTCGTCACTCAACTCTTGTCTACGTTCCTGGTGCCAGTTCCGGGACCAGTTCGCCCAACAAGGCCACGCTCATATGCGCCTGTGCGCTCTCCTCGTTCAGATGGAGTTTCTCTCTTTTGGAATATGTCTTTTCAGTACCACAACGACTGCTGTTTTTGGAAGACAACCATGAAAAAATAAAAGGATTTTTTAAGAACTTGCTTCAAAAAAGACCGTGACTTTGGTCTTCGTTTCTGGAATAGGTTTTCCACGTAGCACTGTGTAGTACGACTCGGGCTTTTGCAATACTGTTGCCTATTTGATCTGTGACATTGCAATATTTTGTTTCCGTATTTTTGGTGCCAAATCATGCGCTCGCATAAACGTGCAGCGGTGTATTCAGGGGAGGGAGGAGGGGGGGGGGGGGGGGGGGGGGAGCGGAAACAGTCCCCATCAAAGTTTTACAAGTGTCAATATTATGAGAGTGAATGTCAAAAATCAAAACATCATCAAGCACCCTCGAAGCGTCAAAACATCGAAGTAGATATGTAGAATCGAATGGATATTGGAAATATGATGCTGTAATTCGCCATGCCAGAAATTCCACACGCCTCCTGCTTACCAAAAGGGGTTTTCATTGAAGAATTTGAAATTATGCCTCAACACGCTGCAAAATGCTGTATACTGTCAGTTTGCACCTTAATTTCTTCGTCCGAATTACCAAGCACCAATACCATGCCGACCCTTGTCTGTACGACAAAAGAGCAGCTCTGGTTGCTCCTGTTGTAAAGGCGCACACCTGATGCCAGGGTTATGCCGTTGCTTTCAGATGGCAACTGCGGCCTGTCTTCTTCTCGTCTCCCTGGCTGTCCTGTCGGCGGCCGACCAGCACAGAGACGACCGCTTCTACTCCAGTAGCGGACCCAGCTACCAGAGCAGTGGCCCTAGCTACCCGAGCAACGGCCCTAGCTACCCTAGTCAGACCAGGCCCGGCGGAAGCATCGTCAGCGGGTGAGACTGAGGAGTGTCATGCATGAGCACTGGCCGTGTTCAGCCAAGGACGAATGCATTGCGGCTGGCTTTACAGATCTCTGTTCCACCACAATCAGCCGACAACGGTCCTAGCTCATGGAGAGTGAGCCCAATCAGAAGCCCAAATGGGCAATGAAGCAGTGACTGCGACCGTCCAAGAAGTGCTCACATCTGCTCCGGTGGAACTCCGTAGAGTGACTTCGCAATCGGTTTGAACACGCGAACTTGAACCTGCGAATAACAGCACAATCCTGACTGCAGGTTCGGTTTTTCTGCCCATGTCCGGCCGTCCATGCTGCCAATATTTATGGATGCATGCCGAAACCGCTTCGGTAGTTGAAATCCTCCATTGAAGCAGACCCCCGCCTTGAGGTCGATATCCCATGCAGACGGCACCTTTCGCCGCCGACTGACATGCGCTAGCAGAAATTGACTACAGCAGAAACTAGCTAGCAGAAAATGGCCATTCCATTCACATGTGGAAGAGGCTAGTGCATGGCTAATGTGGCAGCTGAGAAGCTGAGCGCCCAGCGACCAGCTGATAAGTTCTCATAGCGCGATTTAAACAGGTTCGGTGAGGTGCCTAGATGTGCTTGATTGAGGTGATTTTGAGAAGCTGATTTAATATCCAAAATTGTAAGGAACCAACTCATTTATCGTTGCGAAGACATGCTGACGTAACTGCGTCTCTTCGTCATATGCACGGCGACGGGGCGGACACTGCTTAGGTGTGGTTTGTGCACCTGACGCTCAGCTCACAGATTGCATTATTTGTCGTCACTGCGTGAGTCCACATGCGATATATCATATGCAGATATACGACGAGCCCTGCCTTTGTTTCAGTCTGGTCGAGAAATACTTCCGGCCCATCTCCGACAGAACGGATGCTGGCAGCCTTGGTAAGAACTCTGTGGCTCTCCACGCCTCCGCTACAGATGTCTGAACAGTGAACATATTAGCTGAACATAGTAGCAACATAGTACATAGTAGTTCACGCCCACCACGGCAGACACCCGACGCGAATAACTGAAAACTGATGCACACCAAACAGATTCCTTTGCCAAGAATTAACGTGCAACACGTTGTGTCAAGCTGTGACCTCTCTGATCCAAGAATGTGTGTCATGGTATCTGTTCCACACGGTGAGCTTTTGTGACCTAGGGGACTCTGTACCACACCATTGTACCACTGCGTCATTGGAGGTGCAGGGCCGGTCCCCACCTCACCGGCTGTGCTCCGGCCTCATCAGCTGCAACGGGTTGGGGCGTGGGGGGGGGGGGGGAGCAACGATTACGAATTGCCCACACTGCCGTATGACACCCGCACGGTGGTTCTAATTGCTGACAAGATCCCGTTGTTTGCAGCGGGTGCTCTGTTCCCGTCGTTCTCATTGCTGACAAGAGCCCGTTGTTTGCAGCGGCTGCTCCGTTACTGTTGTTCTCGTTGCTGACAAGAGCCGTTGTTTGCAGCGGCTGCTCCGTTCCTGTTTTTCTCATTGCTCATTTTGGCGGCGATCGGCTTTGCCGCGATCGGATGGGCGCTCACCACCACGCTGAACTCGTCCGGACGAGGTCTGGAGGCGGACAGCTGGGAGATCAGCCACTCGGTCTGGATGGACCAGCTCACCAGGGACTTTGAGGACTCATGGTCTCAGTGATTCACCTACGGCAACTGGATGAGGCAAGACACAGTACAAGAAAGGAAGAGGACTTGTAGTATCCCTATGTCACCGTGATATTGTTATTGTTGTTGTTATTAAAAGGACGCTGCTGTTACGGGACAAACACGTGCGATACGACCGTTGAGAACATTCCGCACAATTGTATTGCGCACTGGAGGGTTGAAACCTCTGATAGGCGGACATGTTTATTTAGTCGGATTTGTTGTTATGGAGCATTATGGCACACACAGCTGACATTGGAGCCTGCTAAGAGCTTCTGATGCAGAAATAAAATGCCAAAAAATAGCACCTGTATCTGGTTTGGCCACCTCGAAGAAGCACGCAGCTGATGCCGATTGAAGCATGGAAAAGACCAGCCGCCCTACAAGAGCGTAGCCGTGGCGTGGCGCACCCCAGTGGACGGGGGTACCTCACGGCGATGGCAGGGGACGACCGTCCACCAGACGGCTCTCGGTCACGCCCAGCCAGTGGTGCCTGCACAGGGAAACCAACCCGGCCCGGATGTTTATCGTTAGCTCGGCGCGGGGTCGGCATGGTCAGCGGAAGCCGTTCGACTAGGCCACCGTGGGCGGCGGAGCCTGCAGTCCTTGAGCCCCTCCCTCCCCACGAGTCTGCAGTCGTGCGCCTCCACGACGGCGGTGGCAGGGTCGCGGACGCCGCCCCATCGCGGCGAGGAGCCGAGCTGACGCAAGCCTGTCAGCGTCTGCACCCTCGGAGGACGCGTCAAGGTGCCGGCCGGCGGCAGATGGCCGACTACACTCTCCATCAGAGCACTCTCCAAGGTACCGGCCGGCGGCAGATGGCCGACTACACTCTCCATCAGAGCACTCTCCAAAGTACCGGCCGGCGGCAGATGACCGACTACACTCTCCATCAGAGCACTCTTCACGGTGCAATAACTTGCATGCGGTGCAGATTTGATTCATCCGGTTGGTTACAATGCGATGCAGTTTATTGTGCGCGTACTTTTGCAAATGGTTGAAGCACGGCACGTTATTGCTGTTTTATGGTGCGCAACCTAGGTTCGCCCTCGGGTGTGCCGTGTGGTACTATACTGTTCGGAAGAACAGCGTGCGAGTGCCCCTCTGATCCCAAGTAACAAGACCGACAGAACACCAATTATTCTGATGGGTAAATTACCAGCAAGACACCACGTACGTCGCCGGGAGAGTGACGTCAGAAAAGGCAGCATGTCATGCCAATGCAGAGGACATCAAACCTCGGGGAATGAGGTCCGGCGTCTTTGGAAGTGGTCGTGCAAACGGTTCACCCGCTGCACTTGAATATCCGGCTTTCGTGATATTGTAACATGCAAACGTATGTGGTTTTCAAGCGGATTGATTGAATATCTTGGTTTGGAGTTCATGCCACGCAGTGCTTGTGTGAAACCTTGCCGAGATCTGAACATGCAATGGCAGCTTTGCTGTATAGCAATGTTCGACACGGTCAGCCCGCCCTCTGACCTCATGTCACTTTTAAATGGCCGCTGCCATCGATCGTGGGCCAGTTCAGTCGAGGCACACAGCGAGGGCCAAAGCTGCTTGGATCCAGCCAACCCTCCAGAGCGTCAAAGCAAAGGCAGCTTGAACCGACCACCCATAACGCCAAGGGGTGAGTTGGGAGACAAGTGCTTTGACCGCTAGAGCTACGAGGTGGGCGACTGGCATGTTACTTTGACAGATGCTTTTAAAGTGAATTAGTGTCCGTCTGTCTGTCTCAAATGTCATTAAATACCTTCGTGTTGGCTTAGGAACTATGATCAACATGGAGCTATGATTACCATATGATTATGGTATTACCTAAAATAACAAGCCTATAGCTCACAGATATGTTGATAGCACATGCCCTTTAATAAGGTATACAGATACTCGGACTGAGTGGACTTCAAATGAAATCTATTGAGCACTGTTTCATTCGGAGAATCAATACGGCGTATATGCTTCCCATGGATCAAGAGCAATACAACGCGTAGAACAGCCTTCCGGAAAGGCTCGAATGGTCTACAGATGCGATGAGCAGTGCTCACTACATCCGTGGTGATGTGATGGTCACATCACATCACACCACATCACATCACCGGCCACATGTAACAAGCAGTGCTCTCCGGCCACATATGAGTAGTGCTCACCGGCCACATGTGATGAGTAGTGCTCACCGGCCACATATGCATTGCATTTGCGTCTTTTGCGTTTGCATTTGCACAATGCATTTTTGAGAATAAAGTGGCCAAATTCTGAAAGATTGTTTTACTTCTTAGCAAGGTTTAGAATGTAGCAGCCGCACGCGGTGCCTTATAGGGCCAGATATCTCATGTCTTCGGCGGGCCTCCCCTTGGCAGTGGCATGGCTTCTCCACTGCCTACTTCTGCTACTTGCAGGTAGTGCTGTTATTATCGCCATTTCCGGCGCGGGGTTTTCGCCTGCTGTTGGGCTCGGAAGGGAGCGGCGCGACATCGCGGAAGGCTACACGCCTGAAGTGCGCAGCAGCGAATCATCTAGCGCCGGGCCGCCTATTCCTACGCTTGTCAGGTGGGCTTCAGACATTCCGCAAGTGTATTTGAAGGCATCGGGCAGTTTTTCAGTAATCTTATCTCTTACTTCCGAAAGGCAGACTGTTCGCTCCATCTTATTATGCATATATCGCATAAGATGTCGGGTCATATGTGGCCAGTGAGCATTGCTCTTGATATCTAGTCGGTCACCACTGCTCATGATATGTGGCCGGTGAGCACTACTCGTCATATGTGGCCGGTGGACATTGCTCATGCTATGTGGTCGGTGAGCATTGCTCATCATATGTAGTCGGTCAGCACTGCTCATGATATGTAGACGGTCAGCACTGTCCATGATATGTAGCCGGTCAGCACTGCTCATCGCATCCGTGGACCCATTCGAGTCTTTCCGGGAGGCTGTTCTACGCGTCGTTATTGCTCTTGATACATGGAAAGCATATATGCCGCATTGATTTCCCGAATGAAATAGTGCTCAATGGATTTCATTTGAAGTCCACGGAGTCCAAGCATCTGTATACCTTATTAAAGGGCATATGCTATCAACATGTCTGTGAGCTAAAAGCTGGTTGTCATAGGTGATACCATAACCATATGGTAATCATAGCTCCATGTTGATCACAGTTCCTAAGCCAACATGAAGGTATTTAATGACATTTGAGACAGACAGACGGACATTAATTCACTTTAAAGACATTTGTCAAAGTAGCATGCCAGACGCGCATCCCGTAGCTCTATCGGTCAAAGCACTTGTCTCCCAACTCACCCGTGGCGTTATCGGTGATCGGTTCAAGCTGCTTTGGCGCTGTGGAGGGTTGGGTGGGTACAAGCAGCTCTGGCCCTCGCTGTTTGCCCGGACTGAACTGGCCCACGATCGATGGCAGCGGCCATTCAAAGTGACATGAGGTCAGAGGGCGGGCTGCTCGTGCCGAACATTGCCCTACAGCAAAACTGCCATTGCACGCTCAGATCTCGGTAAGGTTTCACACAAGCACTGCGTGGCATGACTCTAAACCAAGATATTTAATCAATCCGCTTGAAAACCGCATTGGTTAAACCTAAATCTGAAACTGAATCGGGTTACTAGCGCTCGATTCTTTGAACCTTTTCCATGACAGCGGGCGTGACCCCCGCAGCCTGCCAGGGTCGCACCCATCCGCCAGGCTGGCTGGATGGATGCGCCGACATCTGGTGGAAAATCGGCAGGGCATGGATATCCGGTTCAAGATAGATCATCCATCTTTGAAAGGCCACTATTTGCCGGAAATTTTGCGATGACCGCAAACTTTTCATTCATCGCAAAATTTTCGGCAAATAACGGCCTTTCAAAGATGGATGTTCTACCTTCAACGGGTCACCCATGACCTGGCGATTCCCCACCAGATGCCGGCACATCGTCTGGCGTGACCCCTGGCAGACTGCGGGGGTCACGCCCGCTGTGCGCTCCCCTGGCAGACTGCGTAGTCACGCCCGCTGTGCGCGTCCCTGGCAGACTGTGTGTGTCACGCCCGCTGTGTGTGCCCCTGGCAGACTGCGGGGTCACGCCCGCTGTGCGCGGCCCTGGCAGACCGTGGGTGTCACGCCCGCTATGCGCGGCCCTGGCAGACCGCGGATTCACGCCCGCTGTGCGCGCCCTTGGCAGACTGCGGGGGTTGCGCCCGCTGTACGCCCCCCCCCCCCCTCCTGGCAGGCTGCGGGGTCACGCCCGCTGTCATGGAACGGGTTTTAAGAGTAGAGCGCTAACAAGCCGATTCCTTCAGGCGGAGGTCTGCAGCCCAACAGTCGACGCGTCTCCGCGGTGGACCCCCCAGCGGTGGGTGTGTTAGCCGTTTACAGGCGTCTCCAGCAAGGGCGGGGGGACGGGGGGGGGGCGGCAGTTTACCCCATCCTCAAAATAAATTTCGCTGAATCCGGGGAATAAATGAGAAATATGACTGGAGGAAACGTAGGTAGATTAGCGTCTTTGTATACGGAGTCGAATACTCTTTAGTTCCCTGGACTAGGTTTTGGCTCCTCAGCGTAACAATCCCGTCCTTGGCTCTTGAACCATTTCATGGCAGGACGAGCGCACCTGACGTGAATGAACCTCGACATCAAGTAACCGATCAGATTAAGGAAGCGTCCAAACTGGTTGTGTGGAACAAGCGCTATCAACAGCTTAACGCTTTGTCTACAGTGCGCGTCGCCTTTTGTTTTCAGATCAGGTGCGCATCACACCGTACCTGATTATCACGACACTGTTGCTGATGGGAGTAGGTCTCGTCTTATACCACCTCTACAGTGACGCCACCGGCTCAAGATGGCGGTTTGCTTACTAGCGGCGACTCAAAAAAGTACTTTTCAGTATAGGGACGTCCAGGATCCGTGCTGGCAGAAAAGGCACGTGTTCCTCGGCCCGAACCGTCACTGTGTGCGGTGCAGGATGCGGCGTCGTGTTGATTTGCTGTGCTTCATCTTTTGTGCGGGATGCATGCCGTCTGCCACCAAAAGAGTGGTCTGCTTTCGGAGAAAGCCTCAATTCTGCCGCCTGCCTGGCCAGTAGCCTGGTGGCTTACCACTACTTAATATATTCGCTGGATGTTCGTTGAATGTTCGTTGCATGAAGTTGAATGCAAGTGCTGAAACATAGTTTGGGTGATCAACGATTAGCGGATCTGGCTAAGACACATTTCAGGAGCCAATTTGCTATAGCATGCTCCTTGGAGCCATGCCCTCGAACCACATATGCATGCTGCCACTAGTGCAAGAATATGGATTGATCATTAGACAGCATATTTCAACACTTGCATTGGTGACTTTGCGGCGTGAGCAGAGTCGGTAAGTTGTACACCAGTTTGACACCGACTCCATCCATAATCACGGCCCACGTCTTCAGTGAAGGCTGGTGCACAACTTGCTGTATAATGAACACAACACATGAACGTATGAATGCGCGTAATGGGTAAACAAATGCGTCTGCCGTATCTGTCATCTAATCTACGTGCACAGCATAGCGAGCGTCCGAATTTGCCCCCTTAACATGCCTCAATCCATGCTAGTAGTTCCAAGCCGATCTGTAGATCTGACAAGTCATGGAGAATAAGTTCAAATAACTCCGCTATTTTAGTCAATAAAAAAGGCCATCTCAACCTTCCTATCTCCCTCCCTCCGCTCTTTCTCCCTCTCCCTCTCTCTCTCTCTCTCTCTCTCTCTCTCTCTCTCTCTCTCCCTCTCTCTCTCTCTCTCTCTCTCTCTCTCTCTCTCTCTCTCTCTCTCTCTCTCTTCCATTCTCTCAGTGACACAATTCCAGGCCCTCAAAGCAAACGGCGACCTCAAAGGGGTCATTAATGGCGGCCGCGCGCCACTTCACCCAATCAGACCATCGCACCCTGTGGGGGATCCTCACCTTCCGCCGGCGCCGGAGGACAAACAGGAACCAGAGCCGGGGTCGTCAACACTCTGGAAGTGGGGAGTAGCCCTTCCAGGCCGACCCACAGCCTGCGGCTGTAACGTCACAGGAAGGGTTGCGGTGTTTGCGTGCTCCTGGGAGCCCGAGTGGCCAGAATCTTCATTCCTTCTTCACCAGCCTTACGATAAGGTAAGACAGGCTGCTCCGCTGTCAGGCGGGCACCTTAGGCGTTGTTTCATGGAACAACATGCTAATTTTCAATCATGCTAATGACTTTTAGAAAATTACTTAAGATACAGTCCAGTGCCTGCGTCTAATGACTGGCTTCCACGGGAGCGACAATTCACGACCCTAGAAAGCTGTTTATCGAACCGACAACTTCTGTGACCGTTTACTTGGTGCTTGGATGCTTCCCCATGGATGTGCAGGCAGAGCCCAATTTGCTTCTGCCTGGTGTTACTCAGTGTTGATTTGTCTGCGCCCGTAATGGTCCTGGATGCCGTCACCCTCCAGCGAGTTGTACGGACCGACAGACTTTAGAGGAGCGTCCACTTCTGAGAGAGGCTGCTCTCGTGGCTTTTGAATGCAAATGACGATTAGCATACGAATGAATATGGTCACTGATGGGTCCGTTAGCTGTCACCTACGACCATAAGGCTCAGACGTGGCTTATGCAAAGAAGATTTCCAATAGAAATGGTGTCTAGATAATATTTGATATTGAGTGTCTGTTTTCCTATTGGTCGACGCAATAAATGACGGCTAACCATGTAAACAATGGCGTCGGCAACAGAATGTATCTTCACAGCAACGATATCTGGCCCGGCAGAAGACCTGCATTGCCTTGTCCTCCGGGTAACATGCGCGCTGTTCTTGGACGCCAGCAGACATGTGGAAGCAGGCGACTGTCGCCCTCCTGTTGGTGGTCGTGGTGGTCCCGACGGCCGAAGCGGACGCCAGCACCTACGGCCACCACGCGACGCCGTACAAGCAGCCCGCCTACTACCCCAGTCGGTACCACCAGTATCCGTGAGTAGTCGCCGGCTGCCGGCGACCGGAGACAGGCGGAGGCAGTCGGTTACGTTGGGATCAAGAATGACGTGTATGTTTCTAGGTGGCGTGCCAAACAGCCGCGCAGCTCTGCGGTGCTGTGGGGTCACAGAGACGCGCAGTGCTACCTAGGCGAGCAACACTGGACGCGTACCTGACCCCCATTCGCGCAAAATGGCATTCATGTAACAAATTCACACAAGTGAGTCAAATAGCTAATAAATAAATTCATGACGAACAAGAAAAGCTTTGAAATACGTTACCCCACCCGCGAGCCTCTGCCATAGCCTCTTCATCCCAATCGCAAGCCGTGCGTAGTGTTCATAATCCGGCTCGCATGAAACGATCCACTGCTGCGTTCCTCAGAATAGACACGGAATGCGTGGGGGTCTCAGGTGGGAGCCCCACATGCCAGCCAGAAACATTGTGATGATCAAGGTCACGTGGGATTTGGGGGCGCGTCGATATCAAAGGTCTTATTACGCCCATAACGGCTGTTTCGGGCTGTGCTATTTGTTAACTAGCGAGGACAAATACAGCTGAAAATTTGATGCATCTTAGAACTGCAAACAACTGGCCTGAATCTAACAAAGAAGTGTCGCCTCCCAACATGTCGCGATAAGTCAAACATGACGCTTGCCACCCAAAATGACGCAGTCGTTCGTCCTTGAAATGTGGACAGGGGTAAAACGCATGATAAACTGTCAACGGCGCATGGCATTCAGGGCATTGAAGTCTCCCGCCGCCACATAACAGACATCCATTTATCGCGTAAGAATGGCCAATTTACAGCCGGCACAGAGCGACCACTTCCCACTTAGCCGCTCACGAGCTAGACGGCCAAAGGCCCAACAGTGGCTTTATCATTCTTAGCTTGTTGCTTTCGGTGTCTCAGACGCGTTGCAATTTTCTTTTCAGATAAGCTGTGATGGATGAATAGAAATTCCTAGCTAGGACCGCAAACAACGTGCGCAAGGCACATGAGGGGCCCGCTTTGCGCCGACGTCGGCAAGCTCGTCTCCCGCTATCCCCACATGGCTTGGAATCCAGCATAGTACCAAAGTTTTGACCATGCCTATCAGCTTGTGAAACAAGACAAAATGTCCTGTAAAAAGGGACACAACAGTGGGCGCTAGACAAATCTGCACCATTGATGAAACAAAACGGGGATTTTGACTACATACTTCAGAATCAGCGTTGACGTCTTTGCGTTTGATCGTTGTCGTTTTTTCACTGCTCCTGCTCTGCATATCACGCTTAAAACTGGGTCTGAGCCCTTCGGATGGATGAATTTCTGGGAACAGAGCCCGCCCTATGCAGGGCTTGTTGCGCAAGCCCTGACTTCTACCATCCGATCATTACATTTTAGGTCAACGGCAGAATATGGTGGAGAAGGTAATACGTGCAGCTACGCTCAGCACGGTCTGTCCTGCGTGCAGCTACGCTCAGCACGGTCTGTCTTGCGTGCAGCTACGCTCGGCACGGTCTGTCCTGCTCTCTGGTGTCAGCTGACTTGACATGTGGCCGCTCCATCGGCCGCAGGCCGGCCTAGTCAAGTGAAATTGGCGAGCGCCTGAAGCGATTCGAACCCACCCTATCACGGATGGATGGATTGGAGAGCAGCTGCTTTAACCAACTCAGCTATTGGACGAAAGAATATGCTTATGTTCATGCCAACGCCTTTATTCAGTTTCGGCTGGTGCCTCATAAGGCTGCGTCTTTTTTCCATTGAACATATATCTATAAGAAGTGAGCTAAATTCTGCAATTTCTTTTGATTACGTGGACAAACCTTTTGCATGAAAAAGTAGGTACATGCACCAGTTGTACGCAACTCAGTGTAACACCTGTAATAATCTCGTGTGCTTCCACAGGTATACAGCTGATCGCGTCTCTGCCGTCGACAACTTCTTCAAAGGTAATATTGGTGATTTCAACAACTGTTAACACCTGTCAGGCGTGAGTGGTCAGTGGCGGCGGACTTAAGTATCTAACCCAGCAGTGAGAACGACAAAACAAGGCACACATCCCTAGACTGTTATGGATCCCACGACATCAATGCGTCCGAATCAGCATCGGGTTTTGTGACGCCAGCACGACTGCGGCCAGCAGCCCGTTCTCGTGCGTCAACGCTGAAGCCTGTACGCGTCAGCATGACATCCGTCCATGAGCACGCTGACGCCGACCGACCCCACCTCCCGTCACCCGCAGACGGCTTGGCAGACATCGGCCTGAAGATGGTCATCCTGCTGGCGGTCAGCTACGTGGCGTTCTCAATAATCGCCTCGCTGGGCGTCCTGGCGGACAACGAGCGCCGCGGCCTGCCCGTGGCCGGGCTGGACACCATCGACGCGCTGGAGCGGCTGCAGAAGGCGTTCGACACCTTCAGCGGCCACTAGGAAAGGGTGCGGTCCCCTACCGCCGGACTCTGGAGCAGCGTTCCGCTTCACCGACCACCGAGGTCAAGGCCACGGCTCGGCGTGACCCCCCGCTGGGGACCACGGCTCGGCGTAACCCCCCGCTGGGGCAAGGCCACGGCTCGGCCGGAGATGCCCGATTGGTACCGGCGGTCGGCCGGCAGTTGTTACATGTTTGGGAAACGATCCCACCATCAGTCTTCACCTGTATCTCTCGTTTGTTTTGTTGACGCGTGGGCTTATTTAACCTGACGCAGACGGGTTTCGCGGGCATTGTGTGGGCCCTGCCTTGGGCACTGTGCCGCCAGCGGGGTAATGTGCGGACCACGCATTGTATGTGCAACGCACAAAGTATCGATACATACATGTACGAAGCCATGAGCTTATTGGCAGGATGCAAACGCAGCGGTCGGTCACACAACGCCAGCAAACTCTCTTCGAAATAAAGGAAGATCGCTGCGGCGCAGCCCCGCTCAGGCTGCTTGGGCGCCGGGGGCCTCTCTTGTGAGGCCTGCAGAGGGGCGTACATTGGCTATGGCCACGGGCAGCGGTTCGCTCAGGTGCCGGGTGGCGGGTGCCGTGGCTCGGCCAGGTCGGTCAGGTCACGCG